TCATCATCGTCGTCATCATCATCGTCGTCATCATCATCATATCATCATCATCATCATCATCATCATCATCATCATCATCATCATCATCATCGTCATCATCGTCATCATCGTCATCATCGTCATCATCATCATCATCATCATCATCATCATCATCATCATCATCATCGGCAGCAGCAGCAGCATCCTCTTCCTCCTCCTTTTCCTCCTCCTCCTCTTCCTCCCTCCTTCTCCTCCTCCTCCTTCCCCCTTTCCTCCTCCTCCTCCTCCTCCTCGTCTTTCTCCCCCTTCCTCCTCCTGGTGGTCCTCCTCCTCCCCTGAGGTATCTGAAATCTGTTTTTTACATCTCGGATGGTAAGACTACGCTGTGGCATCAAAAGATAAATACATATATATATATATATAAGGCAGAAATTTGCATAAAAAGTAGAAACCATGTACAGTAATATAACTACATGTCAGGCACATGAATCTAGAATTATGATGTATGTCACGTAATACTGTTATTGTGTATCATCTCTGGTCCAGCATATTGATTTGCATTTCGAGCGTTCATTTGTATTGCCCTAGCGCAGCCTTGCAACACCAAATCTGAACCTTAGATACCGGCCCACGCGCGTCAAAACACGACCTCTCGAGCGCATGCGCGCTGAAACCAACAAACCACTTATCCCAACGCTGGGATGCGCGACATTCCCGAAAAACATAAATATGTTACAACGTATGTCCCCGACGCGTATTTCTGCAATCGACGCGCGCGTGCATCCTGTGTCGGCGCGGGCGACAAGGGACGTGGTCCAGGATAATGCCACCACGGACACCGCGCATATACAGGAGGAGGATCGAGGAGGAGGTGAGGAGCTGATGGAGACGACGAAATAGTTAGGGAGGCCGCCTGGTGGCAATTCGGGGGCCTTTGGGGGCCTCTGTTTGGGCCTCTTTGGTGCCTCGTGGGGCAGTCCACTGCAAAGTGTGCAGTACCCAGCACGTGCAAACCAATCGGGCCACTCGTTGATAATAGTTGTTGTTGCCACGTGCATCTCGGGCGTGAAATGTTAGATCCGCCCTGCCCAGACGTTTATATAGTGAGATGCGATCGTGTGTGTGAGAGAGTCTGTGTGTGCGTGCGTGCGTGCGTGCGTGCGTGCGTGCGTGCGTGCGCGCCCGCGCGAGTGTGTGTGCGTGCGTGTGTGTGTGAACGGCCCGGGGGAACGGCAGGACGGTCCTGAGAGGGCTCCAAAACGTGTCTAGAGGGGCCTCACAGGCTGTCCGGACAGGCCACGCGGGGGACGATTGCTGCCGCCCCAAGGGGTCGGCGGTGTGGCGTAAGCCAATGAATAAAACTAATGCACACTTAAACACGAGGTAGAACAAACTTCCGTAAACTTTAGAACACACATGTACAATTTAGACAACCAGTTCACAATTTCAAACAACAGAGCAAAACATACGACATCAACGCGTTTCTAAAAACAACATAGCACAACTTGAACAACACTACGCATACACAGACAACTATCGACAATAGTTTAGAACACAACGTATGTTGTATAACAATATACAATTTTATGTTTAGAACACCACTAAATTTAGAACACCATGCATACTGTAAAATACGAATGCGCAGTGTTGGTCCCATCTGCCTCGCGCTAACATGTGTTTCTCACATCTCTTCCGGGGGCCTCCAGGAGGGGGCCTCTCAGCGCCTCTGGGGGGCCTCTTAGGAGCTGCTGGGGCTCTCTTGGGGGCGTCCTGGAGGCAGAGAGAAGGCCCCACGGCCCTTCTTGGAACCTTCTTGGGGCCCTCTTGGGGCTTCCTTGGGGCCTGCTCGGGGCTCACTTAGGCCGTCTTGGGGCCCTCCCGGGCCCTCTTGGGGCTGTCCTGAGCCATCCTGGGGCGTCCTTGGGCGCCTCTTGGGGCTGTTTGGGCGCTCTGATACCCAAGGGAAAGGAGATGATCAAAATCTACGCTTTACGAAAAGAATGGGGCCATTTTGGTCCCCCAGGGCCCGCGTGGGGGGCCTCTTGGAGCTCTCTTGGGGCGTCTTGAGGGCCTCGTGGACCTTCTGGAAACCATCTTGGGCCGTCTTGAAGCGCTCCTGGGCCCTCTTGGGGCTCCCTCGGGGCCCGCTTGGGGCTCACTTAGGCCGTCATGGGGCCCTCCTGAGCCGTGGGCTGTCCTGAGCCGTCCTGGGGCGTCCTTGGGCGCCTCTTGGGGCTGTTTGGGCGCACTGACATCAAAGAGAGCGGATATGCTAAGAATAGATGTATATCAATATATATATATATATATACAAACATCTATTATTATTAATAGTAATAATAATAATTATAATAATAGTAATAATAATAATAAGAAGAAGAAGAAGAAGAAAAAAGAGGAATGGGGCCATGTTGGTCCCCCGGGGCCCTCGTGGCGGGCCTCTCGGACCTCTCCTGGGGCGCCTTGAAGGCCTCCTGGCCCTTCCTGGAGGCCCTCTTGGGCCGCCTTGCCCTCCTCGGCACCCTCTCGGGGCCCTCTTGGGACTTCTTGGACGCCTCCGCAGGGCCTCCAGGGGGCCTCTCTGCGCCTCTGGGGGGCCTCTTGGGAGCTGCTGGGGCTCTCTTGGGGGCGTCCTGGAGGCCTCCCGGATGGTCTTGTCAGCATGTCCGTTCTGGAAGCCATCTTGGGCCGTCTTGCCCTCCTTGGCCTCGGCACCCTCTCGGGGCCCTCTTGGAGCCAACGGACCTCTGCCTAGTGCGACTGCTTGCAGTAGCGCGTCCCATGGGGGAGACTCCACGGGCTCGAAACAGGCGCTACTCCACGGGGGGGGGAGGGGGGTCACGAGTGCCGCGCCGATCGGCAGAACAATGAATAAGAAAACGCTCACTATCCTGAGGCCTGCGAGGCTCCTCAGAAAGGAAATGCTGATTATGAAAAAAGCAGGGAAACAACAAAAAAAAACGATGGCTCCCCGGAATGTGTTAATGAATCCCGTCTCCCCGAAGCCCCTCGGAATCTTCTTGGGAGCCTCTTGGGAACCTTTCGGGGCCATCTGCGGGCCCATCTCAACCTGTTTGGGGATGCCTGGAGGCTACCTGGGACAGTTTTGGTCGAGTGCCGTCTCGAAGCCATCTTCGGCCGTCTCGCAACGGTCTTGAAGGGTCTTGGGGGCTCCAGTCGAACGTCTTGGGCCTTCCTGGAGCCCCTCTACGGCCGTTGATGGACCATCCTGAGGCCTCAAAGGCTCCTCGGAGGCGATGAAGCGAGATCTGGAAAAACATCTCCCTCGCATGTGTGACACAGTTTGCCCTCCTGGGGGCCACTTGGAAGTTTCCTCGGGGCCTCCATGGGCCGTTTTGGGGCAATCGTGAGCTTTCTGGACCCGTCTCGCGGGGCCTCCTGGGGGCGTCATGGGACCTCCTGGGCGGCGTCTTAGGGCGGACCTCTCGAACTAGGTTCGTGCTCTAGGCCCCTGGCGGGCGCGGCCAGCCGTGTCTTGGCGGGGAGCAGAGAGGCGGAGGACAGAAAGGGAATGACCAAAAAGAAAGGGAGAGCGTGAGAGACTCGAGAGAGAGTGACAGAGACCAAGAGAGGACACGGCAAAACAGGAAATACAGAGAGAGAGAGAGAAACGGAGAGAAGAAGAGAGTGGAACGCTCGCCATTAACGCCACAGGCCGTCTGGTTTTTTCATGTGGCATGAGCACGTTTGTTTTTCTGTAAGAAAGGTGGCATGAGCACGATGCTGACCAAAAACTGCAGTGAGCGCCTCCCGTTTGCTGGCCGCAGGCATTCGCAGGGACAGTCAAGGGATACTGCACAGGGCTGCTCATTCACAGGGCTGCACGGTGCTGTGGCAGTGGTTGCACCAACGCTGGGGAGGCGTAGCACGCACGAGCCTGCCAGCAATCCCTCTCCAGCGTCGGCTCGCCAGAAGTACCCACTGCCGCCGAAAAAGGCCCCCAAACATAGGGCGACTGCACCCCCTGGTGGTATTCAAGCTCATTTCAAAAGTAAGAGACCGATGGACGCGCAAGGGCAAGCAAAGCCGTCTTGGAATGGTCGTGGGCGCCTGTGGGGTTGCCTTGGAGCGTGAAAGCTCGAAAAGATGACGACGTGACATATATCCAATAATTAGAATGTGAATCCATGATTTTTACATCGTGGTGTCCCCTCGAGAATCCTGTTGGGGGCCTCTTGGGCCGTCTTGGAGCGCTCTACGGCTGTCTTGGAGGCCTCTCCTTGACTACCTACCAGACCACCCCAACCCAACCCGAAGACCCGAATTTCGGGTTGAGGGGGGCAAGGGTTCCATATGTGTTTTCTCGATGGTTCCCGACCCCCCCCCAACTAGAAATCGAGGGCAAATTTGAGCCCTCGGGTTGGGTGGGGGTGGTTTGGTGGGTGGTAACTCCTTGGATGGCTCTTGGAGTTCTCCCATATTTTCCCATAGTTTCCCATATGTTCCTGGGAGTCGACGATTAAGTGTGTCTGTGAGTTGTTTCTCCTCCTGAGTCTTGGAAGCCTCTCCTGGGATGGCCCCTGGAGTTCTCGCGGCGCCTTTTGGGGAGCGTTTGCAGCCTCCCGGCGCGCTCCCCGCGCGCTCCCAGGGCCCAGGGCCCCCCTTGGCGCGCCGAGGGGCCGCCCCGGTGGCCACGAGCCTGGTCCCCCGGTATGTAGGTGTGTACACATAACATATACATACATGTATGCATACACACGAATACATATATACACATACATAAATATATGCATGCACACATGCATGCATACATGCATGCATGCATGCATACATGCATGCATGCATGCATACCGACAGACAGACAGACCATACATACATA